TTTGTTGACATGGTACGTTGGCTTAGGATACATTCTTGCTCATCAAGCCAATCAAATTACATTTATAAAGCTGTAACATGTTTCGTATAGGTATCGATATCGATATAATCTACCATGAATACAGAAAAAGATTTACGTAAAAGAACTGCTGGTGCACCGATAACAGAAACTTTAGTAGAGCCACAAAAAACAAATACACAAAGCTCATCCTCTCGTATATCGCGAATAATCAATTCATTTAAATGGATTATTTTTGCGGGGTGGATATTTTGGTACTTTGAGGTTGATAATGGTGTGCGAAAAGTTTTGTCATTGAACGGGTGGGTTAGGTATGTTATGATAGTATGTAAAAAAAAAAAAACTGTCAAAAACTTAATTATATGAAATAAATTGAATATTAAATCTTTTTAAAATTTACAGAAACCTATTCTACGTTTCAGCCTTTTTCTTACTATCAACATTTTTCATTTTTTTTTATCTACAATATTTTCATCCTTTCATGAGAGGTACACCACCACCAAAATATTCAACGTGGAAGCATGATAAAACGTTAGGAAAACTTATACCTATAGCAACTGTCACAGGTACCATCGGTGTAATGGGAATGATTATTGATTTTTGTAATGTTTGGGGATTTTTTGGAGCATTTATAGTTGTACTTGGATTGTTAAGAGGTGTCATTGCAATTTTGGATTTTTTTTGAAAAATATCAGTAAATTTTTAATGTAGCTGCTGAAGCTGAAATGGATGATACTGAAATTTATTATGAAATTTTAAAATTTTTTGGACTTTATTTATTTTTTAGGGTCAAATTAAAATTTAAGATTATTAATCAAAGAGTATGTGTGGATTTAGCGAGTATTATAGATATATTCTTGCTTTGAATACAACTTAATACATATCAAATACTAATTTTTAAATAATATATATTATTTGTTAATTAGTTATCTAAAGTATATTAGTTGTAATTTAACACAAGATTTTAAAATCTAAAATCTTGTAAAAAGCTTTTTCAAAAATATAATAATATAGTATCATTATAAAAGATATAATAATAATATTATTATTTGGTGATCTACAAGTCAATCAAAAAGTAATTATAGTAAAATATAACACAGATTATTTATAGAAATTGGGGTTTTGTAAATATGATATACACATATCTAAAACTTTTTTTATACTAAGTTAACTACTTTTCTAACTTAAAAGATTTTTGTAGAGCTTGTTGATATATATCTAATAGTAGTTAAATCATTTAAATTAGCCTGATAGATGCCAAGATATTTTTAAAAAACTTTTCTTTAACTATGTAAATTTTTTTAAAACAATACTATTATTTTACAAAGAAATTTACATAGTTAAAGAAAAGTTTTTTAAAGATATCTTAGCATCTACTAGGCCAATTTAGATGTTTTAACCATTATTAGATATATTTCAACAAGTTTTACAAAATTTTTAAATTAGAAAAGTAGTTAACTTAGTATAAAAAAAAGTTTTAGATATGTATACACCATATTTACAACACCTCACTTTTTATAAGTAATCTATGTCATGTTTTACTATAATCACTCTCTGGTTGACTTGTGAATTACCAATTATAAATAAAGGCTTAGTATAAATAGTTAAACTTTTTTTATTTTTCTTATAAATTATTATTATTATTTTATTTTATTTATTATTATATTTTATGTACAGTCTGATTTTGTAATAATCACTAGATTAGAAACAAAATTTTGATAATTATAAAAAGTTGTGACTAAATAAAAGTCAAATTTTATATGTTTTATAATAGCTAGGCCAAAAAATAGTGTGTTTATAACAAGGTTGTGACTATATTGAGAGTGACTATAACAAGGTTGGATTATACTTTATTATTTATATTTTATAAAAATATTTATATTATACTATTAATTTTATATTATATATATTTGTATAACTTTAAACCTAATTTCTTTAAAATTTTATTAAGATAATCTTAAAAGTCATCTTATTAAACCCTTCTATTTTGATCTATAGAACAATTTTTATTAATTAACTTTTTTTTTTTTTAAATTTTTGATGATCTTGTTAAAACTATATACAGACTTTATTAAAATAAACAAAAAAAAAATAAACTTTCCAAAAACTGAACTAATATATATCTAAAATTTAAGTTTAATATCATCTAACTGTATAATATATATCTAAATACAATCTATTATACTAATATCAAAATGAATTGAAAAACTTTATTAGCTTATCTTAAGCTTAAACCCTTCAAATTCTTTTCTCTACTAAAAGCAAAAAGAAAAATGATTCTGTATTAAAGAATACAAACTAAATATTATAAAAAAAATAAAGTAATATATAAAAAAAGAAGCAACTAAAATAAAAAAAGAAAATTATAAAAAAATAATAATAAAGAACCAATAAATATAAAAAAAAAATTCTTTGTCTAATAATCATGGTTTTGAACTTTTACTCCAAAATCTGATATCTTTATATAATAGTAAATATATTATAGTTTTATCTAATATTAAATATTAATTATTTAGTATATAGTTTAATAGCAATTTTGTTATCAGTATTTTTACTCAATACTTTGCTTAATAATTATAAAGCACTTACTAATATAATTAATAGTTCTAAGTAATATAAAATACTATAAGATATATCTCCTAGTTAGATTGCAGGTATGGTGGCTAGTGTAGAACCCAGGCAGACTACTTAAATTAGATACTCAAAAGGTG